CGGGCCCGGGGCGTGAGGGGAGCGCAGGGCGGCTCCGGGATCTGGGGGTGGCACATGGTGTGCGGAGCGGGTCAGGCTGTGCAGGGGTAGGACATGGTGTGCGGAGCGGGTCAGGCTGTGCGAGGGCGGTCCGGGGTGGCACAGGGGATGCGGAGCGGGGACGGGATACCGCGGGAAGCACGCAGCGATGTGAGGGGCCAGGGAACCGCGCTCCCGGCGCTGCTGAGCCCTGTGTTAGCGCCTGCTCTGTTCCGAGGCAGCACCGACACCCCGCGTACCGGGTTGGAATGTCCTTTACAGCATGGACCATCCCGCCCCGCTGCTTTATGGAACTGGCAGGAGTGACAGCAGGCAGCCCCCTCCTGGCACAGCTTCCGTCATCTCCCGTGCGTGTGGCAGCACCGGCCTCTCCGTCAGTCCCTGGGCTGGAGAAAGCCAAAAGCTTGACCGTCCTGAATCTTCAAATTACAAACATACCCAGTCCAGACTCAGAATGAGCTGCAGGAACTCTCCAGGTCTGGCTGCTAGAGACAAAGCAAATGGATAAATCTACTGTGACGGTAAAGAATTTTAGTGGTTAATTCGGGTTAAAAGGTCAGTGACCATTGAGATCAACTCGCTTTGCAGTTGTGCAGGAAGCAGTTCTGCAACCATAAACCTCATTTTGTAGCAAAATAAAGTGAATGTAAAATTTAAATCAAGACGTAGGAGTGCATAGACCTTTGGAAATGGTAGTCCGATGTACCATTTTATTGACAATGAGATACTTTATTAGGTTAACTTTATTTCAGTTCCAAAATAGTACTTCAGCGAGAGACTCATGATTAGTTCTGACAGCAAGTAAAAAAAAAAGTCACGAACTTTAAAATAATGCTGGTACATCTAATGCTTATATTAATGACTTAAGATTAAGTGTAAATTTTAAGCTTTGTAATTAAAGATAATTGCTTTAATGAGATTTTCTGTAATTGTAACATTATATCTAACAACAATTGTTACACATTTTAAAAACCCTCTGGAGAAAATCTTAGAGATCCTAGTAAGTGCTGCACATCTCATTTTCCATCCACCGGGTTTAATTTTGTACCCTCTGAGCCTAATTTGTTGCTTTCCTTAATTAATGTTGCATGAAATTTTCCCCTTTTGGTCATTTGATACCCTGATAGAGATTGGTTGTCAACTCTCTGCAGGGTGTTGTTAGCAAAGATCTTGTCAGGTTCAAGAGTGGATAAGGACATCCTAGACTGGCATGGTGATTGAGTCACACCTTCAGAGCTTCCAGGCAGGCAGGTGTACTGAGGTGTGGTGGAAAGCTGATTTCACCAGCTATCTAACAGGCTGGATTGCCACTTTCTTTGGTTCTCTTTGTCATTTCGCTATTTTCTTTACTGAAATTGCAATTTTTAAAAGTCTCTCTGCAGGTGAAATGCCTCCTGTCCCTCAAGTGGCTCAGCAGATTAGCCAGGAGGAAAACCAGCAGCAAAATGGACCAAATTTGTCAAGTTGGCTTAATTCCTTACCTGCTGCATATGACAGGAACCCAGTTCTGCCCCAGCAGGTACAGCCAGCAGGCTGGGATAGGAACAATGTGCTTGTGGTCCCAGCTCCGGCTCCCTCACAACAACAGGTATATTTGTAAATTATACAGCATTTATATTATATAACATTCGTTCATTATCTTGTTTGGAGATTGTTGACCTTTGTGTTTTGTGTGGTGACTTTGTGGATGGTGGAATTTATCACTCCAGCCTGGGGAGAAAGGAGCAAATAATTCCAGTAGTTTATGCAGGTGACTTTGCCAAGCCTGATAATTTGCTTCAGACAGCTGTGGCGTAGCTCATCTGGGTATGAATCTTCCTTTACAAAAATACTTTTGTATTTAAATTTAGAATGTCTGTGGATACCTGTGGCTTTCATTTGGTTTTAATTAGTGCTGCAGATATACATGATTTTTCTTGAAGAAAGGAAAGGGGTGAGGAGGAATCAGACACATTCTCTAGGGAGGTAGCATTTGTTCTTGTAATAAAGTCCTAGAAGGAGATTTAATTAAACAGAATCCATTATTTAAAAATTTTATGCGCCATTTTAGAATAAAGGAGGGGGAATGGTAATGAAAATTTGTGCTGCTTGTGCTGACTTGACAACAGTTGCAGGATGCTTACATGTGTTAATAAAAATGCCAGAAAATAAATGTGTTTTTATATGAACTTTTTTGAGAATTTTGTCCATCTGCCATCTGGCAGAGTATTTAAATTCTGTGAAATTTCTCACTGAATCAGCCAGCACTTCGATGAGATCTAGGGGTACTATACCTTAGGAGGAAAAACAGACGTTATCAAGACTGAGTAGCACTGCATTCCAAGCTTCTCTCCTGATTTTTTGTATTACTGCTGCCTCACAAAGTCCTTCAGAGACTTTACAAAAAGCTGCACAAAATGCATTATTCATTGTCCTTTAATAAAGTGTGACTTCAAACACCATGGAATGTTTCCAAGGACTGAATAATCATTTACTGAATAATCATTTCTATTGATTATCCATGTATTTTTCATAGTGTCTGTCTTGGTTTTGTGTTGTGCAGTAGGAAACATAAGTTTAATTATGTTTATTTGAAGAAAAATGAATTCTGCAGGGAATAACAGCACTGAGGAAAGAAGGTTTATGGTCTCTGAAACCTCTGCCCAAACTCAGCACAAATCATACCATGTTGTTATGAAAGAAATGCAGTGGATGGCAACTGACTTCTTTTTCAAGAAAGAAGATGAAAGACTGTAATTGCCAAGAGAGTGATGTGAATTTGATATTTTCAACCAGAAAAGAATAGGCAGCATTTTCATGGTTAGGATGTGATCACTGAGGATCTGGGGGTCTGGGGTTGCCTTTCCCAGTTTGTAAACTTTAAACAGTACTCCTAAAGGGATTGTAATTATTTTTTTTCTTTAGAAATTTGCCTTTTAGATAGAATTGAGCAAAACCTTAAAATAATTTTATGGTTTTATTTTAGGGTTAATGTGTCAAGGTGGGAATAGATGGGTCTGGAATACCAGTTCTACAAAGGCAAATGTTGTAATTATGAGCAGTGAATTAGCTGCAGAGCTTATCTTTTGAGGGTGCTGCCCTATTTGTGACTCCTGGTAACATGAGCATAATGCTCCATTTCCATGGTGTGGGTTCTTGGAGCCTTTTAAAGTAACGGCAGCTGCTCTCTGCAAAGTCACATGACACGTGGCTCTTCCAAGTTCCACTTTAATTCTGCCATCAGCTGGGAGCTTTTTAATCATTCTCAGATACTGTGGTATTATTGCTATTATTTTGTCTAAAATGCATCTAATAGTAGTAAAATATTTAAATATTTCTTTAGTTTTTTGTTTTTTTTCTTTAACTGTAACTGAAGGACACAGACTGGCCTCTCCTTGATGAGATTGGCATGGAAAACCAAATTAATTGCTACAAAGCACAAATGCTGCCAAAACTGAAGGTAACTGGAAAGTTTATTGAAGACATCTCCTGCTCCCTTTCATCAGCCAGACTTAAGCCAGTGAAGTTCAAACCAAAAAGGTATGTAGTGTTCAGGTGATTGGTTTATTTTTTATTGGTTTTTTTTTTTTTTTAAATAACAGATGAAAAAGAGTAATATTTGTGAGGGCTGAGAGGGTTCATTCAAAATTATTTGTTTATTTTTTTATCTTTTGTTTCCAAACTGATCACTGCTAAAGACTTCATGCCTTTAAAGTCTTCTCCCTCAGTCTTCTGGGGGAAAGCAGAGTGCTTCTTACTGCTTAAGTTCTTTTCATTTATCAAAGCTCAGTTTTGATCTTTCTGGCCAGACTCAAGAGTTGAAGTCACTTGTGGTTTTGATCAAACACTGAAAATTATTTCTGGAATAGAGTTTCCTAAGCAGAATAATTAAATCTTCTCCTTCTAGTTAGTTTTCAGATGTACTTGCAAAACACTTAAAGATTTTTATTTTTTTGGGTGGGGGGGGAGGGGGAGGGAAGGACAGAGGGAGAAAAAAATACTCTGTTAAATTTTGGGCTTTTTAATTAATTTATTTTTTTGTTGTTCTAGAGTCTTCCCTCAGAAGAGAAATTAGAAGGGTTCAGTTTTGAGTCTTGGAGCAAATGTAATTCTGCTGTAGAGCAATGTAGAGTTAAATTTTACCATAAATTAGCCTGATATAAGAAGGGTATGGTTAGTGAAGCCCAAGACAGCTTGTGTGACACATGGCTGTGACAGGTGACAAGAAAGATGTCCTGCACTAGTGTCCTTAGGTTATTCTACCAGAAGAGAGCATTGGCAGTTAATGAAATTAAGGACTGGGAAGTGATAGATGAAGTATATATGTAAAACAGAAAAAGAACTCATTATTTTTGTCTTTAGACATCTTTGGTTTCCTGGAATTAGCATACACAAAACAGCTATTGTGAAATCAGCTCTTAAAACTGCACTGTTTTTGAAACCATACCTGTAATTAAAGCTTTGCTCCATGAAGAAGTTTGACCCTTACTAGCATCTTTTGGGGAGTTTTCTTGCTGTCTCCAGACTCCACAGATGACTAAGGGATATGGGAGTTCTGTTATGCCCCTTCCATGTAATCCTTCAGAGATGACTGGAGCATCAGAGCATTTGGTGTACTTGAATTTTACAGTATAGTGTGTTTCTTCTGTGTTTTGAGAGAAGCAGAATCCCTCCTGCCATATGCTCTTCAGCTGGGTACCTCTTTCAGCTCAGATTACTGACTAAAAATAATATTTTTGCCAGTAGGCATAGAATAAGGAAGCAGATTTATTTTTCATTACAATACCAAAGCTGACATTTGTTCTTGTATCACAAGTGTCAGCTTTTCTCCTGCTCTCTTCTCCATTCATAGAACTCTCATATGAACTAAATTATTTTTATTTTCAACTTTGTTTTTTGCAGAAGCTTTATCTGGTCACAATAGATTCAGAAAATAATTTTGAATTTAAAGGGTATCCAAAGAGAAAAAAGACAACTAAAGGAACACCTGGATAAAATATACTTCTGGAATGAGTGTCATTATTCCAGAATCCTCCTGTATGGCAGAGACCTGTTGGAAACTTGCTCTTGGATCAGTGAAAGAAAAATCTCTCAGCATTGTTCTGCCAGGATTAACAAGTGGTGCTGGGCAGGCTTTGCAAATTGCCTTCCATATTTCAGCATTTCAGAGGCTCTAAGGATCCATTGCAGGAAATCATTCTGACACTGAAACAGCAACAGATTGCCCTGAAGGATGTTATTACCAGGTAATAGAGACAAATCCATGTGCAGTCTTTGCACAGATTAGATGGGTGTGTGCTACCCTCCAAAACAGGGTATTTATGTGAACAACTGTAAAATGCTAGATGATAAATAGGCTGCCTTTTTTTATCCTTTTTGCAGGCTACATTCCTCTACACTGAACTTATTTGAATTTCAGATGTATAGTTTTGGATAATTCTAGGATCTGAAACTCTCAATAGTTCCATGGCAACTGTTATTATATTTATAACAGTTCTGCTTTATTTTGACATATCTTGTATTTGTTGTGTTAATGTTGACAAAAAAAACCACCTAGGAATTGTAAAAAGCTTCTCTTAGTAACTTTATGGATAATGGTAATTTCCACTTTGGTGTTTTTGCATTTATTTGATGTCATCATAAAACTTCCTGTCCTGATTTACTTTGTTACCTTTAGCCAGGTGTTTTGTGCTTCTTTGCAAATATTACTGGTTTTGAGTAGTTAATAGCTCAAGTGGTTAAAAATGAGTATAATAAAGTTCTGATTTGTTTTATAGAGACCTGTGTGTGTTCCAGCTGTAGCTGTTGCTCCTCCATGTTTGTGTGGCACAAATCCTTCTTACACATGGACCCATGGAATGAAACTCTTGCAGTTCAGTCTCGAGGAACAGAGATGGTGCAGTGTGATTCAGGTATTAAACACCCACCACTGGATACACCTGTGTGCAGGGGCTGTCTCTAATTGTAAGTGTGACCTGCAGAACACTCAGGTTCTCATTCATAACCAGGCAAGCTGGGAGCTCTGGCTGTCCTGCTTTGGAAGATGAAAGCAGAAGGGAGAGCAGGTGCTGATTTTGACACAGATGATTGCAGTGTTTAACATCCGGGAGCTTTTCCTGCATTTCCGTTTCCTCACGTGAGGGAGAGTTAGTGAGAGTGGTGCTCACAGCTGGCATTATCTGGTAAGAGGATCTCTTACTCCAGCTAATAGTGAGTAGATGCTTATGGTGGGAGGGCAGAGTCTAATACATTTGCAAGATTCATTTGCATAATTTCTTTGCTTATTGAAGCAAATTATATATGTAGCTGTAGCACAAATATATAATTATAAATGAAATATGTCAGTCGTATTACTATTTGATGAGGAATCTAGGGTGTTTACAAGGAATATGCCTCTAATTATCCTGCGTTTATGAGCAATTTGTGCTTCAAATGCAGATTTTTTTTTTTTTCACAATAGCCATTTGATTAATTGCTTTTGCTTTCATTATCTGTAGCTATTTACATTGTTAGTACTTTAAATGTAGTTGGTGTTTTTATGTTGGCAGTTCCTCAGCCTTACTCCAGGGGCTTTTCTTTGTCGTAGAGTGCCCTGGCATTGCCTGAGGATAAATTGAAAGTATGCTCCTTTCCCTCCCCAGTAAGATTCTGTATATCCTCTGGGGCCTACAATTTGAGCAAACATTAACAATATATTGAAGGTATTTTTATTTTTTATTCCAAATTGCATCATTATGCTTTCTGTTAGATGCAGTATAAAACATAAAAGAATACTTTGCCTTAAGGCAACTCAAGGCATTTGATTTGATTTAGTCAATAGACAAGAAAAATGATGGAGCACGTACAGGAATAACAGCTCAGGTGTGCTTGATCATAGGACATGATGTGGTTACTGTAATAGATATTTAGATTTTTATTTGGCTGACTGCACCATAAATTAATAGCTTTAATAGTAGGCAGATTAATTATGAATTGTGTAGATCTGTAATGTGGGCAGTCAGATAACTTGAAATGTTTTGCATGCTTAATGTAGGTTGGGTAAGTAATAAGATAACAATTTTTCCAGTCTTCTCAGTCTGTTTAAAAAAAAAGTCTGTTTAGAGATTTATCCCTTATTAATGTGAATTTTTAATGAAGTTGCTAGTTTCCCTATTTTAGGAATTCATAAAAATCTTCAACAAAGACAAGTGATCCTTCTGTGCTATCCTGTCTTCCCACACTCCTTCCACAGGTGTCAGTCACACAGGTGTGATTACTGTTGTCTTCTATGACTGATTTAGATCTGCTGATGGATGCAAAGAGTAAGGAGTGGTGTGACAAAATTGCAAGAGGCAGAGATAACCACACATACAGGTGAATTTCCTGCAAATAAATCAGTGTTTTAAAATCAAAAGTAGACAGAAGATGGTCTGGGGAGAAACTAGGATTTTTGGTTGAGGTCACCCTTCTAGTTTAAGTAACTTGGTCTTTCAAGATCCCTTCAAAGAGTATATCATACACCTTCCCTTCAGACTAGAGGGAAAATTAAAATCATGTCCTTTCCACACTGCTGCTTCTGTTCCTGTCTTTGCTCCCATTTTCATCTAACAAATCATCTGACTTCTGTATTGAGACAGCCAAAATAAAATGTGTGTGTTTTCAGTCCTTGATAACCAGAAAATGCCATTCTTGATTGTCACTGGATTCCAGATCCACCTGTGATGTTTGTGTAGTTCTAAGATGTATTTGAAAGCTTCTCTCCAGTGACTATTTCTTTTCTTTAAAGGATGTGCTGAGAGCACAAGGATTGTAATGGGTTTATTTGTTTTACAGGCTTGTAAGTGGTAATTCTGTTGAAGAGAATCTGTTGAAAAAGAGTATTAAACATATGATTCAAGAACTGGCTGCTCAGGGAGGGGATTGTTCAACAGACCTTTTATCTCAGGTACTGTAACATTAAGAACATTAGCAGTTATTTAATGATACATTAAAAATTAGCATTTTACTATATCTGACACAGAATTTTGAAAAGGTAGTGATTTATTCATTTCTAGGCTTATTTGGGAACCAGTGATATGTGTTCACAGTTCAGCAGAAATCCTGAACTGTCAGCTCATATAGAAAATCAGAAGGTAACAATATCTAGTAATAAAGGTTTGATTGTTTCAATGATAATGTTACCCTTTTATTGACATTGTCTTAATCAAAAGCAACATCTGCAGCAAAAGGTGTCAAATACATCTGTAATTTGACTTTTCTGAACTTGATTTTAAGATGACTAAAATTTTTTTTGACATCATGCCTTATCATATTGAATACTTCAAAACATGTTTCCATAAGGGTCTTTGCTCTGAATATGGAAAAGAGGGATCCAGAACGTTTACAGAAGAGAGACTGTCTGAGCTAAGAAATCATTTAGATTGAGAGTTGTGTGACTCAGGAAACATTATGGTTCCTACTCAGAAGAGCTGGCCAGCTTGGTGGACCAGATCTGGAGATTTCTCTTATTTTATGTAAACCTTTAGAAAAGGTTGGAATTTACTTTCTGTAAAACAACCAAGTGGCTTCCGTAAAGTACCTTGTTTTCAATCCATTTACATGAAACAGTTCTGTGCAAATTTAAATACTGAAACACTCAGGGGAGGCAATTTGAGCCTGTTGATATATCTGTTCATGTTCTGAAACATTTAAATTACCAAGTGTTCTCCTGAGGGTTGTGACGTGCATTGAACTAAATTGTATCTTGTGTTGTAAAACTGTTTTATAGTCCTGTGCCTTGTCAGATAATTTGCATTTTTTTCTTAAAGGTTTTGGATCATGTCAGTGATGTAGTTCTCTTGTAACTATGTTTATCACTCTCCAAAGCAATGCCAAAATTATTACATAAAGACCATTGCAGGTCCAGAGGGAAAGGTGTTGAAACATGATTTGCATTGTGAGAACTTGGGGGTTCCTGGGGTCTTTTTTGTTGTAGGTTTTTTTTTTCTTTCTTTTTTTTTTTCTTTTAATTCCTCATTGCTGTTAGAGTACTACGTGAGTGTTTACTAAGCAGAAACATAACTAGATTTTAGAATTCTGAATAGCAAATGTTAGTAAATACCTTCTCCTAACAGCATTACTAATATAGGTTATATTTATTACATTTCCATACACTTAGGAATATGAATTTCCCCAATGTTATGAAAATATGACATTGGATGTATCATTTACACAACCAGTATGTTAAAAATAAGGGAGGAAAACTGTTTAAGTGGTAGGATATGAATTGTTTTCAGTCAAGGCTATTGATAACTATGAATTTTGAGACAGGGCTTTTGCTTATGTATTTTTGTATTATGTATTTTTTTGCTTATGTATTTTTGGTACCTAAGCCTTCACTTTGTATTTATGTAGAATGTAGGTGGTCATCCTCTTTGTGCTAAAGACTGGAATTCTGGGTGTATTCAAATCTATATGAATCACTTTGAGTTGATGACAGTGACTACTAGAAATAGATTTCTTTAAGTTTACCTCTACTGTCAATAATTTTTCTCAGATTTAACAGGAAATCACTGGTGGCCTGATGCGTGAATGTGTTTTCTCTTAAGCACGAATGTAATTCACGGGGACCTTTTTCTTATCAAAGGCTCTGTGCTAACCTTTAGCTTTAAGGTAGTGTTTACTGTCCAAGAATCAAATCTGTGCTCGTGCTGATGTAAAGAAAAGCCTGAAGTGCTTCAGTATTGCTCCATCTGATGTACCAGAAGTCCTTCCTCAGGTCTGGGTAGAACCTCCTGAGCATCAGGGTGTGCCCGTTGTCTCCTGTCCTGTTACCTGGCACCACCGAGCAGAGCTGCTCCTCTCAGCCGCCTCTTCCCGAGGCTGAACAGCGCCGGCTCCCTCAGCCTTTCCCCGCAAGAGAGATGCTCCAGCCCCTTCACCACCTTTGTTTCCCTCGGCTGGCCCCGCTCCAGACGCTCCCAGTCTCTCCTGCCCTGAGGAGTACAAGCCCCGCGAGCTGCAATGTGCATTTTCACACCGTGGCTTGAAGAGCCAGCCCTGCTCCCTGCGCGGACAGAAACCACCCTTTGCTCTCTCCTTCCCCTCCCCTGTCTCTGCTATAATAAATATCCATTTTTCTGCCCTGTCGCCGAGCCCGTTCCTATCGCGACAGGAGCCGCGGGCCGGCTCCGCG